CGAAAATTCACACATTAAAGTACTCTTTCCCAAAGAAATTCTTTTACCGAATATGCACAAATATGCATCTGACTGACGAACCTGGGCGAATTAGTTGCGTTTGCACAGCTGTCCGCTGGCCGGGTCTCTGTCCCAGATGTCGGGTTTATCTGCTGCTGGATCGGTTGCGCCTCTGTGAATTTGGCACGGGAGCTTTCCGAGGGTCCTGAGACGTCAGATAGAGAAGGAGAGCAGTCGAGGGGTGGAGGGGCATTGAAGGAGGGAGTCGATGGGATAAGATGGCAGGCGGACAAATGCGAAGGTGGTGGTGGCGGCGGCGATCGCCATGTCGAGGTCAAACTGCGGGTTCGATGCATCTGATGAGATGTCGAGGGGTCTTCCCCATCATCACTACCACTGCTGCTTCGGTGTGTCGCCAGGTTTCCTGAGAAGGAGGCGGCACTCATGAAAGCGGGCCTTGACCACGAACGTCGGCAACTGCAGGTGTCCATAGCAGACTCAGAAACGTCGCGATCGCCTATTGTATGGAGGGGGGAGAGACAACAAAAAAGAGACTCAAAAAATAGACAAAAACACATTAACAGTTCCGTTCTTCCCACCGGCTTGCTTCCTTTCCTTCGCATAATCTTTTATTCCTTAGTAGCAGTTCCTCGTGATCTGACTCAACACTGCCGTCCCATACCAGCAGAAAAACGGTGATTCTCGACTGAGTAGAACAGAACTACATCATGATTAAATTGTTTGAAAACTTAGTGTAAACTTCATTTTTTTAAAAAAAAAACGGGACAAGATCATACGCTGATATAAAGAAAACTTATAACGTGAGGATGCAAGAGCAGTGGTGGCAGCAGATAGGCCTAGAAAAAAACCTCTTCAAAGTGACAAGTTTCAAGACAATTTGACCCAAAACAGATGACTGCAAATATGTGCTTCAGAAAAACAGAAAATTTTCAGATCTGGGAAAAGAAGGCCTACTTGTCATGGTCGTATCATCAACGTCATTTTCATTCCGGTCAGCGCCTTTGCTACTTCTAGTTTGCACAGCAGGCATCTGGAGGGAACAGGTGCAGCTTGCAGCAGGAGCTTCGCTAAGAGGCCTTCTGCAAATAGTGGTGAGTCGGGGAGGAGGTGGTAGAGAAGTAAAGGAGTCCTCGTCCTCGTCCTCGCCCACATCTGCGCCACCACCACCACGAGCGCTCACACCGGCGTTCCTCTCCTGATCCTGTTCCTCAACATCTCCCACGCAGTAGGCTTTACTTTCCTCCTCGTCTTCGTCTCCGCCCCCGTCATCATCATCCCCGTCACCCTCATTGTCGTCCTCATCGGCGTGAAAACTGAGGCTGGAGGAGGTATCCAGGCCGATGGCGTGCATGGCGTAAGCAAAGGACAGCGAACCCGTGGTAGTTGCGGCGGAGGTAAGCGAGGTGGAGGGAGTGGTCACAACGGAAGAAAACGGAGCCGAGCTGCCTACGGCAGTAATGGGATTAAGAGTCACCGAGATGGGGGAATGCAACCGCCCGTGGTGTTGTGCACCACCATTACTAATAATCCTGCCCGAAGAGGTTTTGACTGGCGGCAAACTGGCCTTGGCTGGAGGTTGGAGAGCAAAGAGGGTTGAGGCGCCAGGACCATCGTTGATTCTATTACCGTCCTCTGGTCTAAAAATAGTTATTTAGATAACAGTATGTTAAAGTTAATAAATTTCAAAACAACCAACAGGGAACAGGCTGAAAACCATTTTCATTATAAAAAAACTATATTGGCACATACGACGTGGAGCATCTTTCGGTTTGTTTACTCAAGAGCAAAAACGTTTACAATATGGAGGCGATCGTGTAAACGGTAGACAGCTGAACATGCTGCCAATCAACAGCTGCGATTAGAAACGCAAATCCCACAGATGGTGCATAAGTGAGCATAGGCCAAAGACATTTAACAGCCTTTCCAATATGTTTCTCTTCCAGAATATTGAGGCAATAGTTACTAGAGGCCGAATGTTTCAGTGGATCAGGATTTTTCTCTTCCCCAGAGTACAGACCGGTAGTTCAACCTTCGAATGGGCAGACAATGAAGGGCGTTCCCACAGGGCTCGATGTACAGTTCTCTATCATATTTGATTTATATGAATGAATGTACAAAGATGCTAGTTTGAGGGGGGGGGCATCTGCCCGTCGATAAGAGTAAAATGTGAGCTGAAATTAAGCATCATGAAACAGCAGAAAGGTTGCTGCTGGGTCAGATAAAAAGGTCTTCTTCGTCGTATACAGAGATTAAATCTGCCATCTTGAAGTTGCACTGGGGCCAAAGGTCGGGGCGAAAATACTATTACTGCCCTAAGGGATGTGAAAACACAAAAATGTACGAATACGGAAAAGCGAGAATTCGGTGGCCTCAGAAACATAAAAATTGTAACTAACACCATGTACTGGACTAGAATCTTTGCGGTCACTGAACGCCCCATGGGAGGGGTAGGACAGAATGGCAGTCTGGATGCCGCAGCCTACGCAACATACTGGCCCCCCACGAGAATGCATAGCTCAGAGTACAGTTAGCGCATTTATGTAGTGGTGATCAACTGGCATTGGGTTAAATATCAGACAGGTGGGCAGATGTTGCGTCTAGAATAAGAGGGAATGCAACTCCAAACACAACGTCGTCCAGTTGGTTAAGGAGAACGAAAATGAGCCAAAATGGCATCCCTGTTGTTTGAAATATGAACGGAAAAAAATTGTTCCTTTTGCTTCAAAGGCGCGAGAAAAGACTACGATTTAAAGGGAAAAAAGAGAAGAGCTTACTCTAGGAGGCGACGAGTAGGGGAAAGACCGAATTCGGTGTCTTGGCAAAGTTGCATTTGGGTCTCCACCCTCCTGCGCCAGAGAGCATTGCGCTCAGGGTTACCATCGCATTGAAATGAGGACGCCGGTACCTCATGACTGACAGGTCCAAAGAGTGAACTGAAACCATTAACCGCTGCTAGGGTTTCGCTTGGTAATGTTGACCGATGCTGCTGGCCTATTTCCACAGGGCTGCGGCGGGTGCTGTTTGTTGGCTGAAATTGAGTTATCTTGAAGGGCTGGACTAGCTCACTTCCGGCGAAACCAGTTTCCGAGTCGACTTGGTTTCTCGCGTCCACAAGAGCTGCTGCTGCCGTGTCATCAGCCTCTTCATATTCATCACCTGTGTCACCCCGCTCGTGATCCACCTCATCATCATCCTCCTCATCATCATCTTCATCCTCTTCATCTTCCTCGTACTCTTCCACGGCCTCGGAGGCCAGAGAACCATCCATTTCAAAGTCCTCCACGGCTCCAACTTCACTGAGGCTTTCATGCAAATCTTCACCTTGTTGGTGGCAAAGCGCATCATCAACGGCGACAATTTGGTCGACTTCATCGACGTCGGCAAAATTCTCGCCATCCTCATCAAAACCCACCTCTAATTCGAGAGCCTCTTCGATAATAGGGGAATCGTCGATGGGTGGTTTTCCCGTCTTTTTCCTGTCTGTCTGTTGTTCCTCGTTGCCCATGCCGCCGCCACGGGGAACTGTCCGCGGGGAGCTGTTGCGGCGTTCAGTCTGGTTAAACAAAACATATGGTAAACATAAACTTTTTGCTCATAAAAACAGGTATTGGTTTATATCAGGATTCCAATGCAGACTCAATGCGGCTGTTGCATAAACCGTAGTAATACGAGGACTATGGACTGGAAAATATGTCACACGGTTTCGCTCAGAAGGCGCTCATGATGAAATAAGAATAAAAACGAGCTGATGGTAATTTAGTAAGACTTACTACATAGTTAGCACTCTCGCACACAGATCATATGAAGATGTTCAAATATGTTCACCTCTATGGTTCAGCAGCGATTATTCGCGCAGAATGGTTAAACTTGACAAGTTTTAACATCGCAGTACTCAGCAGCTAAAAGCTGAAGAGATTGCAGTAACTGCTAATAGTAGCTTTTCATAATTTAAAAAAATGTCCGTGGAGTGAGACTATGTCAGAAAGTTTCCTTGTTGCGTTTCTGAACGCCCATTTAACCTTGCAGAAAGTCATCTTGCTAGACGGTATAACAGAACACACATCAAAGGCAATAAAAGTTAAGAAAATACAAGTTCAAAGCAAAACGTCCATGAAAACAACCTTGACAGATTATACCAGCCTTAGTATTGAGGGAGAGGCGAGCAGCAATCAGCGCATCGTGTGCACTAAACACGATATAACTTAAAGCAAGACAATCAGCAAGACATCAGAGAGCGTTTCAAGGTGTTCATAGATCCATCGAGATGGCTCAATAACCACAAAGATGAGTTTACACTAGGTACCTATCCAGTCAGCCGACCTACGTGGTTATGCATGCTTGGGGGAGGAGAGAAAGAGTGCAGTGTTGACCATCATTTTGTGGCGAGAACACTAACACTAAGCGGCGAATACAAAGTGTCCAGGTGGTGTTGGCACGTTCTTTGCCATTGTTTTAATGAACTGAGTGCTGATACCCGAAATCCGAAGAAACCACCCTCTCAATAAGGGAGGGAAGGGGTGGCAAATGAGAGATCATCTTAAAATCCGGCTCAGAACTGTCCGCTAGGACGCGGAAGAGACTCTTAAAACTTCAACATTCAATTTTCTTCAGTGAAGACGATGGGCCGAGCCAATTGTCTTCGCTGTCATCGATCGTCGCGTCCAGAGGCCCTATTTCCGGTATCAAGGAGATGAGCTAGATCACAGCCGTATCAAGTACACGAAGGCACAGCGAAATCATGCTGTTCATAGAGTACTCATACAACTACAATCATCTGAGACAGTTAAGTACTTCAACCAATCTCTCTTAGCCTGGCCACTGAAGGTCTTCTACGATGTTCTTCAGTGCTGCTGGTTTAGTTGAAAAAACAACACCCGAAATAACAACATCTCCTGCAATTTGCACCGTTGAAACCCCAATGCATTTAGCTAAAAAGAAAACTCATTGGCTCACTAGCAGCAGATTTATGCAAAGGATAAAGGGATAAAACGAACCCAATGTAGCTGATGAAACTTGCATGAGGCAGACAACGCAACGGCCAATAAATAGCATCGAGAACAACCAACTGTCATATATCAATGGCTAAATGTTGTAGTACAAGAAAAGAGAGAGAGTACATGTATATGACTCCTAAACGGGCTGCTTGATAGATACACTGGACAAACACAGCACTAGATCCGACAGGCGTTATTTGGGTCGCATTCGCATAACAAATGCCTAAAATGGGGAGCCTGGCAGCGAGCGTAGGTGCTGGCTCACGCCGTACTAGCCACCTAAGGCTGATCCCGCCTACGGTTTCTCGACTTTGCCTTGACACCGGGTACTGGTGGGTGAATGAAGAGAGACGGTGTGGTTGATGCAGCGCAAGTCTACTATCATTTAGAATTAACATATGTACAAGTCCCCGTCCGTGCACCACCCTGCTGT